AAGACGTCCTCACAGTCCATCGTACTTGTGTATTGGGAATATCTCTCTCCCTCAAAGAAAAAACAGACAAGTATTGAAATGTTCTCAATGCACAGTTACAAAAAGGCTATAAGGAAAGTGTGAGGAAGGTTCCGTGAGGATCAAATCTGAACTCATTAATAAAACCCCACCCCAGCCAAAAATAAGGCAATGGGATATCCTCCAAGTAAACTCTACACTCTAAATGGAGGCAGGGCATCCAATCACATATTGGCAATATCTCCCTATAAATTTAACATACATGTAAGGAGATATTCCCAATAGATGTTGTGGGTCATATACACTTTTTAGTTGGTTTGGGATGTTATCATTGGTCTCACAACCGAAATAAGGAGGATTAGTTGAACTTGATGGTTGTGGGCCCAAATTCCCTTCCCAAATAGTTCTTCATGCTGTTTGAAACATTGGCATCCACCTTCTATCCATACAATGGAAATATCTCCGGTACATGTATGTTTTATTCAAAGGGAGATGTATGTGGCTAGATGCAAATGCTTTCAAGATGCCTACAAAGTTTTTGTGAGGAAAATTTGAATAATGGTTGCACTTTTTGCTTAAAACTCTAAATTCCCTTTGTTCTGCATTTTCTATTAAAAGAGAAAATTTCTTAAACTACTCTTATAGTTTAGTTAATTGACTAATTATATCCTTATTGTTTATATATTGTCTTAAGTAACAACAGAAAAAAAGGAAATGTCAAATTTACCCCTCAATTATTCTTCAAAATTTTTAAATAAATCCCAACTTATAAAAATTTTCAAAAACTATAATTTGCTCCGCATTCGCCAAACTACTACCAGAAGTTGCATTCGACGATCGGTTTATTTACTTCCAATGGCCGGGAAACATTGTTGTCCAAATCAACCTGTTTAATCCTTCTTGTTTGGTTAGGGGTTGGGTCGGTCTTAAAAATCTCCTTCTTCCTTTGTGTATAGGAGCAAATAACTAAGAGCCATCCTTATAAACATCGATTGCTTTGTCGTTTCCAAATTAATGGCCAGATTTCTTGTTGTTAACAATTTAACATGCTGTGGGAAATCACGGCTAAGATGTGAACCACCATTGTACTTGTCCCAGCTAAGAAAGCCCTTAGGCTCAGTACAAATGTAAATTTGTAAAATGTGAAACCTTATATTCTATATTATTTTGTATAATTGTACGTATTTACATTGTTGTACATATTTGTATTTGCAACCTTAGATTTTTTTGACACAAATCAAAAAGCTACTCCTGTTTACATTCTGCCTTTTTCTGAGTTAAATTATGGAAACCATCCTATGTAGTCAATGAAACAAATGTCCCAAAGCCATACCATAAACACCCTTGACAAAGAAAGATTAATCATGAACGGCAGTGGATTGATGTAGCTCAGCTTGAACATCTCATCTGATTGTTCCATCAAGCTATCGAGATACCGAAGCCCAAACCATCACCCAAAGTAGTACTAATTTGTATAAGGCAACGCAGAATAAACGGTTTCCTACGATAAATTGAATCAATCTTTGGCAGATTGTAATTTGTTAAAGAATCTGCCTCGGACGTGCTAAGTTCGAGTATGTAACCAGAATACTTCGTAAATGTATTGATATCCTGATTATTCCCSAACAGCAGCTGAAACACGCCATTTCTTGGAGCGCCGAAATTGATAAATCACCAGAATCCTAAAAGGTTTGCGGCAGAAACTGCAAAGTGTAGTTGAAGAGAGAAGAGACTCAGAGCTGTTAGATTTGGAATTGGCCCGGAGTGGAGGCGAAAATGGCGGGAGGAGTATCATTACTGAGAAAGCCTAGAATGTCGTAAAAACCAGAGCTGCAACGCAATTACAATGGACGTTAAGACTCTACAAAGATTCAAGTATTTTAAGTTCCTGTAGAAGCCCATAAGATATACAAGAAGAGAATCATAAAGGCAACAATTGCAGGGTCAAAGATCACCGCGTAAAGCATTGGAGATGGAGACGAAGCCCCGAGACASAGATGGAGACGGAGCAGTAATCTGTTTCCTCATCTGCAGGTTTTGGGCATTTTTTAGGGCATATTAGGAATTTTTGAAAAATATAACAGTCATATAATGTCACATGTGAACGATTTACGACAAAAAATTTGCGGCAGGGAAAGTTTTAGGCAATTGTTAGAAACAATATGGGTGGTGCAAGACAATARTTAAACAACAGGGATATAATTAGTCAATTTGCTAAATCATAAGGGCAGTTTAAGAAATTTGTCCTTAAAAAATAAAGGGTCATTTACTAGAATACCCCTTATAGTTTCACGAATTTATTTAAACATATTCCATAGTTTTCATTTTACTAAAACACCCATATAATTTGCACTCTACTTGCTTAATCCACCTTTCAAGAACGACTATTTGTTTCGCCATCTAAAAATAGTAACATGAACACCTAAACTAAGAGGAAAATGTTCAAGGGCATGGGCTCATAGTTGTTTATTCCAAAAATACCCCTAAACTGAATGGAACATATTCATGGGTATGAACCCATATTTCTTTATTCCAAAAGTACACCTAATACTTCTTCCTATAGAAAATAAAATTGATCAAATAGGGTAAAATAGAGTGGTTGTTTGTGTCTTGTTAGGGATAAAAATGATATTTTCAATTTTAGTTTCTTTTGATTAAATTTATTTGAATGAAAGTTAGAGTTAAAATTGTCATTTTCAACTTTCATCTAATAAAAGATTGATTAAGTAAATTAATTGCGAACTATAAGAAATTTTTTAGTAAAATGCAAATTATAGGATAAGTTGTTTTAGTAAATCCATGACCCAAAATTAAACGTTTTCAAGATTACAATAATGTCCCTCTATTTAACTCTATCCTCTCAATCACATTTTAAAAAATGGGCTTATCCGTTCATGCAGATTGAACCAGGTGGGTGAATTAAACAGTTGGTCGGTTAGTGTTAGTTTGACAGGGTAAGTTCAAGAAGATAGCATTCAACAAAATAAATTCTTAATATATAAAGGGTATGGAAAAAAATTGTAACAAGGACCTGGCTAGCATGACAATATACTATAGTCCAATAGTATTACAGGGTTGATGGTGAAAGTAAAATTTTGAAAATTATCAAATGATGAAAATAATCATTCTCAAGTTACTGTTAAGATGAACTTTGTTGAAAGCAAGAGAGAAAAAGATGTGAGAATTAGAATTTTAGGGAAGAAAACTAAATTAAAAGGACAAAATAGTCTCATAAAATAATATAAGGATAGTTTGAAGTTTTAGAAATGTTTAAAAGAATATTACAGATGGATTACTAATGACATATTGGAATCCAGAAATTCAGAGGGAGTGTTTTCTTGAAACGTGAAACGTGAAAGCCAAGCGGGTTTGCATGGACCTGAACAAGTCCAATAGATACAACTTACCCATAATCAGATGTCGCACAATCTGGAAGCTCCCTCGTGGTAGATGATTCAGACTCTAAAGTGGAGGTTCGTTAAGCCGAGGCTTGTTGAGTTGATATTGATGTGTTCGAGCTGAAATATACTGTAGATGACAGAGAGAGATGAGAGTGCCCGGGTATCTTCTACCCGGGAAGGGCACTCCGATGCTTAAGTCAGTAAATGTATGAAGATTTCTTTGAGAGTGTGAGGGAGCTCGAGAGTGTTAGTGTGTATACATTTCCAGGTGGATTTAGACATCTTTTATAGTCATCAAGGGCTCAAGGCCTCCTGGCAACAGCCCTGTGCTTCTGGCGGAGCTGTTTCCGCAATATTAGGCATATCAATTTGTCGGTTGCGAGTTCCATGCAACGGTTACAGTTCGTTCAAGTAAAATCTSGTGTGTGGTATGGCAAGCTGTTCTAGSGGTCACAACACCGGCACCCTTAGGTAAAGTGTTGGGAATGGTTAGTGAGCTCTCCCTTGCGGGTTGTCTTAACTCGCCTCAACTCGGCCAACTCCTTGGGCAGGTCGCCAGTAATCTTACGAGATCCGCCAATTCACCCTTACCGAGGTGGAGTTCGGATTGGGCAAGATGCTCCAAGCTAACTTACCTAGTTGGTCTGTTGACTCAGCACTAAGATGTTGATAAGGGCTACGTGTCGCAACTTGTTTGGAAAAACCAAATTACCCTTCATCAAAACCTATTTTACACCCATTAAGCTGCTGCTGAATCCTGAATGGTTGTGAGCCAGCCCATACCTAACCCAATCATCCATTGAATATGAGAAAAAAAAAAATAACAGATTCTCTCTCTCTCTCCAGGTCTTATTAAGTTTGCAAGCTCCAACTTAAGGTATTTGCTCAATTGTTCATACTAAATTGACCCGGTCCAATTTTTAGATTTCCAATTCAACGTCCAAAATCATTCAAGTATTCATGACCAAACACTCAACATTTAAGAAAGCTGGATCCCACCGAGCAGATGAAGTGTGAAACCAATCGGCCAATCTGAAGCTTGGACAATAGTTCAAAACTTCAAACAAATATCGAACCCTCATCTAGCTAGGATTAGAAATGGAAAAACACGGAAACGTACGTGATGGATATAAATGATATTGGTAAGGCCAGGCTTTCCACTTGGCAAATTGCAGGGTCAATTCAAGCGTGTTGACCAGACTTTGGGTCTAAAAGTCTTCGGGGGGGGGGTCCATCCTTGCAAATCTTAACTCCATCGTACAGATAGGTACGATGAATCTTGACCATGAATTGATATCAAATGTACAGGCAAAATGGTAGACTAGGTGGAACCTACAATTTCAGATTTCTGAAGTAGAATTCAGTCTACTTATCCCAAATTCTTTTATCAATTTTTTATTTTCTCTGATCCATTAATTCCTCTTCCCAAATCTCCATCGGATAGAGTCGTTCTTACAATTATTATATATCAATAAGCAGTAACTTCTGTCATGGATGATGCAAGTTCAAGTTTGCAAGACTACTTATTGCCAGCGCTATGGGCTATGGCCTCTGCTCTATAAATTCAAGGCTCCTGGGCTAAAACCATATATGTCTCAACATTAATTCTAGCTATTAGGAAAATGGGGAGTTGGAATGTGAGCTTTGTGTTGCTCCTGCTAGTCTTCTTCATTGCAGGTGCAGGTGTGTCCGTGTCTGCCCAGAGCGCATCCAATGTCTATGCATCCTACCACTACTACCAACCTGAGCAGCATGCCTGGGACTTGAACGCAGTCAGTGCTTACTGTTCCACATGGGATGCCGATAAGCCCCTTTCTTGGCGCAGCAAGTATGGGTGGACTGCCTTTTGTGGCCCTGTTGGACCCACTGCCCAGGACGCTTGTGGCAAGTGCCTCTTGGTAAGATTAAGATTTGAAAAATCTATGATGTCGGAAAGATATAATCGATCAATCAAAATTCATCCCTGAATTTTGATAAATTCCACCTAATTGATTAATATGTTTATATGTTGGTTGATTGGTCACAAATTTTTCAGATATCATATCTTTCTAGTATCATAGTCCAACCCTGATAGGATAGATGCCTACTAACGAGAGCGGGATTTCCTAGAAGCAAAAATCATGCAAACATCCTGAGAGATTGGCATTTAACATACATGTAGGGGAAACATTCCTAATGCACAGTTAGATCCGTGATCTCAAGAGTGTTCGTACAATTTTTTGCTTTGAAGATTCACTCTAAAGTCTAAACACAAAAACCTGACTATTTCAATAAGAAGGAACACTAAGCTCTCAAATGGTGCTCCACATCCACTGAGCTCAAGGCTACCCTTTGAAATTCTTTTTCCTCTGGAAGAGGGCGTCTGAATCTGTTAAGTGTTCAACTTTGGGCCAGGTTGGCTCGGGTTGAACTCAACCCTAGCCAACTCAATGTGTTCAAGGGCTTCATACCTCAACCCTAACCCAATTCAGTTTCATGTTTAAGTTGATATAGCCTAATAGCCCAATATTCAATCCAACCCAGCCCAACAGGTTACCTTTAAGTTTGCTTGGGAAACCCATCAAACACTTGGACCAATAACGCAACAATTTGCAACCAAAATATTGTTAATGTAAACAATGTTCTAAAATTCCATCTGGAACCAAAATTGCGTTGGCCATCAATTTCTGGGTCAGTGTTTTGACCATCTGATCTAAACACAACAGGCTAAAAAATTAGCCCAAAAACTATTGTTTGGGTTAAACAGGTAAATATTTCGATTACCCAGATCAGTGTGGGAAAATAATGGTTCAGGGTTAAAATGGAAGCGATACCCTGACCAATTTCTAAACTGAATAGTCTGAAAGGTCCAACCGTGAGGAGCAACTGCGATTTTAAAAGCTTGGATATGAAGAAGATTAGAGGAAGCTCCCAACCCAAAATATATAAATTCAACTGACTGGGTTTCCAATGAAACGATGATGCAGGTCACAAACACTGCAACAGACGCTCAGGCAACGGTGAGAATCGTGGATCAGTGCGGCAATGGAGGCTTGGATTTGGATTGGGGTGTATTCCAGCAACTGGACACTGATGGCAACGGCTACAATCAGGGCCACCTCACTGTAAACTACGACTTTGTCAACTGTGGCGATTGATATTCTACTAATACTTGCTAGTAATTGTTCCAGAATCCAAATCACTATCAATAGACACGAATAAAATGTATTTGGCTTCCCAAATAAAATGCATTAATCTAGATATCGATTTCCACAATCAAGGCCACCTTCTCAATAAACTTCACCGACCTTATTGGACTACCAGTTTTCTTCATTTGTTGATTGTTGATGAGGTAGGTAGGTATTCATTGGACTGTGTTGTCATCATAACTTGAGCGATGGAAGTATGAACATATTAGCTCTGCACGTTACATCACGTCTAACCTGAGAAACTGAATGGAAGGGGGGAGGGGTGTTTTTGAATGGTAAAACAAGTTTATTTTTATTTTTAAATTAAAATAAATTTTGTAATATAAAAATTATATAATTTATGTAACATGATCAAGTTTGGGAAATTTTCTCATTCAGGCCACGAGCAATTATGAATCTCAAAATTTCCCTTTTTCTTACAGTGAGGTTGCTACAGGGGGGATATAATGAATAAAAGAGATGGTAAATCGATCCCTTGTGTTTCCTTACTTTGTTTCATATATAAATTTTCTTTAGGGGTGTTCTTTTTTTAGATTTTGAGAGGGGGAAAGTTGGTCAATGAGATTTTGGTTCTCATTGACCAAGAATCCCATGTTTATTTTTCAGATTAATGTGGGGACTAGGGAAAGTTTATTTTTCTGGGTATCGCTTACCCAGGAAAATGATACCCATCTCCTAGGTGGGTAAATAACTTTCCCACCTAGGAAAAAACTTGCTAACACTTGAATGGGACAAAAATGCCCATTTTAATAATAGATTTTTATGACTAAAATGATTATTACCTTATTTACCTGAGAAATAAAAGAACATGGGTAAATGCACTTACCCGGGTAGGTGTTTCCCAGTAAAAACTTACCCAGGTAATTGCATTTACTTGGGTAAGTAACTTACCAAAAAGTGAACAAAGCCTTAAGGGTACATAATTTAACAATGGATAGTGTTTCACCGTTATTATGATTTAAACTTAACCTTCTATAATTATATTGTCCAAATTCAAATAGATAAATGATTCATTATTAAATACTGATGAAGGAAGATTTGGCCCGACCTCGCAAATCACGGCACGTGGCAAAAAAGGCAAGTAGCTCGGCACTCAAGACAGCATACCGAGGGTACAAACACCAAAGGGAAGGGACCAACAGGCCCGAACTCCCTACTTAGAGCTCGAACTCCCTACTTAGAGCTCGAACTCCCTACTTAGTGCCC